TTTTTTTTAATGTATTACTTGGCTTTAATTTGAGTATGTTTTTCGCGTTGGAACGAATTATTTGGTTTTACATGTAATCGTATGGGAAAAGATGATCCACCTTACGACATTTTCATGATACGATCTCAGTTTCGAAACGGATTAATTTCGTATCCTGAGGTACCACTGTACATGAATAGTGTTACAATGGTTATAACAAGAACATCATATATAAAAGTAGCCGACATTGTCCAAATGAAGAGTTTATATATTTTGATTAATTACAATAAATTTTTCTGAAATTTTAACAAAGTAGTTATAGATTTTGTATAAATTTTTCTTACTAAGATTATTTAAACTTCTTTTGAAACCAGTTGAAGAGTTGTAATTACATATTTGGAGTATTTTATAGTAGTCTCGTAGACTAGTAAGTCCTTGACAGTTATAAATTAAATGGTATGATGAGAAGTCTGTGGAATGACAGAAATAGCAATGAGAACTTGTAAAATCGATGTAAATATTATTGATAAAAAGAGTATATTTATTTAATCGTAGTTGCATTATAAGATGTTTCACATTTAAACCTATTCTTTGCAATATATAGGATTGAACGGATGGAAATTGTAGCAGATCAATATACCATGGATGATAAGTACTTTGTTTTAATAAATTTTGATCCTTATTTATTGCTTGAGAGATTACAGATTTTATTAAAAGTGTATATCCAAATTTCCAGTCTTGAATATTGTCTTGAAATAAATGCTCTGATACTCCAAATGAATTAAGAATTTTAGTTAATTTGTATTGCCATAATTGATTAAATTTATGATTTTTACTCTGATTAGTATTTTCATGATGTAAATAAGTTATTATATTATCGCTTTTAAATTTTAGTTTATAATAAAATTTAATTAGACATTTCAATAAAAAAGGGACTAGCCGAATATGATTCACTTCATGTCGTAGAGCATAGCCCGGAATAGTTCTTTCTAATTGAAATAGTTTGCGTATGTAGTAAACATGAAAGTACTCCAATTTATAAATGTAGTCTAGACTCCAAATTGGGCTTGCGTAACATATAATAGGCATAATAATAGAGTTAAATAATTTAATATGGATATTCAGATTGGAAGTTTTCAGTTTAGAACATACAAGTAGTAAGTTATCAATGGCCTGCTTTGCTTTGGCTTTCATTTTGTTAAAATATGCTTTGAAAGTTAGATTCCAGTCAAACTTGATTCCCAAGTAATCTATTTCATTTATAGTTTGTAGTAGCAAATTTTCGTGGTATAACTTAGTATTTTTTCAGATAATTTGCAATTATTTCAGAATATCAAAACTTTTGTTTTCGTTGGGTTTATTGCAAGATGTAACGAATGAAAAAATTTATTGAGTTGATTGAGCTTTCATTGTAATGAAATTTTTGTTGGGGCCAGAACAAGATCATCAGCAAAAAGAATGTAATGATATAACCTATTACCAATTATTATTCCATCAGTCGACTCGGAGAAAAGATGATCTATGCCTATGAGGTAAAAATTGAATAAATACAGGGATAGAGGATCTCCCTGAAGAATACCATGGGACAGAGATAATGATTGAGAGATACTGTTGCCTTGTTTTATCCTGATATTATAATTTGAATATAATTTACGAATTGCAGAAGTAAAATGGTCACCTGCTCCACAGGCTTTCAAGTTGTGTATCAATAATGGAACATATATTAAGTCAAATGCTTTCTGAATGTCAACAAAGGAGGCATAAACTTTTTCATGTTTTTTTAAAAGATGAAGTTGAACTATCATTAATAGAGTGAAAATAGCTGATTCGGTACCTTTATTTGTGATAAATGCGTATTGAAATTTGGCTTCTAGTTCCATAGTTTTTGTCCATAATTGAAATTTGCTTGCAAGGATTGAAGTAAAACATTTTCTTATAGTGGATAACAATGCTATCGGTCTATAGTTTTCAGGAGAGGATTGATCGCCTTTTTTATAAATCGTGAGTGTGGCTGAGTTCCAGGATTCAGGATAGTTATTAGATTTGTACATACTGTTAAATAAGTTTGGTAATTTTAGTCTGGAATTGTACGGTAGCAATTTTAAAAAATCAGTTGGAATGTTATCTTTACCCGGTGTTGTTGTTTTGCTTTTTGTTTTTTTAATAGTTTCGTTCAATTCTATAATATTAAATTCAGATTCTAATATGTTGTTGTATTTCAGTACTTATAATTAAAAGTGACTCTGTATGAATTTGTGGAAATCTTTGAAAAAAGTGCTTTCAAGTATCATAGTGTATTTTGACAGAACTTCTGGTTGAGTTTAGTTTTGGACGAAATCTCCGCACAACATTCCAAAACAATTTACCATCATTATTATTTTTAATTAAGTTTAATTCTATTTTTTGAAAATAGTTTGACTTTTTAGTTTTTAATAAATTATTGTAAGATCTTTTAGGTTTTTTTGTAGTTTTCAAAATTAAGATCATTAGGATTTTGCCTAAATTTGTTTAATTCCTCTTGTTTTTTCATTTTCATTCTGTGACAATCAGAGTCAAACCATATTTCTTTAGCTTTATTTTGAAGGTTTCTTTTATTTTTATTAAGGCATATGTAGTCGTTTAAAATCATCATCATTAGCTAGTATATTTTTACACTATTAGTATTTGTTATTTTCCGGGATGGTAAGCATACGATTATCAATCTCTGTTTGATATTTTGACATTTTATATTTTTGGGCTATTTTTAAATTGATTACTTTTCTTCTTTGAGGAGGTTAATAAAAACTTTGTTATTGTAGGAAAGTGGTCCAATATATCAAATGAGGTTATCGTGAATTCCGTACAGCAGTCCAGCAGTAGATCAGAACATATTGTGTAGTCGATTGTGGATTTACCAGTATGGGTTAAGCAGGTATATTCCGCTGGAAAATCAGGTTTAATGCGTCCGTTCAATATAAATAGTTTGTATTCGGTTATTAATTCTATTAATCTTTTCCCCATATTGTTAGCCTGTTTATCCTTGAATTTTTGGTAATTATGAATTAAATTATTAGAACCCTTATATTTAGTGTCCATCATTTTACCAATTCTGTAGTTGAAGTCTCCTAGTACAATAATGTATGGGGTTATATGGTACAATGTATTGATCTTTTTGAAGATTTCATTAATTGTAGTTAGATCACCAGGCGGCACATAAGTTATCATTATTATCAATAAATTATTATTATTATTTAATAATTTAGTTTTGTTTATAGAAATAAGAAGTAGAATATAATTAATAGATTTTTTTACTTGGATTATTTTACAGTAGTATTTTTCTATCAACATGCAAAGACTTTCTTTTGGGCAACCTGGACCTGCTGATTTACTTGCTAAAGTGGTTACTATTGTAAATTTATTGGAGAAGTTAGATATATAAAATTTGTCAGTTGTAATCCAAGTTTCTGTCATGGCAAAAATGACCAGTTTATATTTGGCCAGAATAAAATTAACAAATGAAGTTTTATGTTTGAGTCCCTGACAGTTCCAGTTTATGACAGAGATTGGATAGTTATTTTCAAGAATAGAGTGACTTTGCATTTGACTTTGTTTTATAATATACTAGTAGCCTAGGATGCCCCCTAGTGGGTGTTCTTTACAAATTTACATGAGGCACGGTTCCTTTGACTTTTTTGTTCCTATCAATATGCTCTACAGCTCTGTTAAAGTCNATTGAGTCGGATAATCGAGGCTCTACTGTATTCAGATATTCAAATATACAATATACATTTAAACTTAAAATTCCAATTAGAAATTAATCATATTTTGTTCATCATGAATTTATTTTATTTGTTCAAGTTTAAATTTTTAAAAACACATTTTACTTTGCTAATGATAAATATAATTATTAAAACTGTATTTATTGTTTATTTTTATAGTTAGATTATTTATATATTTATTTTTAATATTTTCAGAATTAGTCAAAATCAAGAACAATTGTTTCTTAGATATGCAATAGAAACAAAATTGCGTATGATAATTCCATACATAAATAAATGGCCACAGGTATAAAGTAAAAATATTTTATTTTTTAAATGTCATTTTATTATTTAAATGTCATTTTATTATTTATTTAATATGTATAGATACTGCAATTTTGATAAGATAAATTTTAATATCATAAAAATAAAGTTTTGAAATTTAAAATTCATCAATTTTATCTTTACATATATTATTTATAATGATAAAGTCAATTACTATTGTAGATTACTATTTAAAATATTTTACAAATATCATATTACTATTTATATAATAAAGAGAAAATATTTTAAAATTTATATCAAAATGCACTTTATAAATTAATGCATTGCAAGCAGATAATTGATCTAACAGTTTATTTTTATATAAATTGAAACAAATTTGAAATAGAACCAAGTATTCCATTGAATACCATTTACATATTGTAAAGTGATCAATGAATTTCTGATATATTCAAATAATCAGAATAATATAATAAATGAAATAACTATTATCAAATGATATTTGATCTACAATATGGCTAATTAATTATTAAACAGAGTAATTTTGTAAAATAAGTAAACAATTATAGTTTCATCTTGTGTTAAATTTAATAATTAGAAATAAATTTATATTAAATTTGATATAACTATTCTGCAAGGTATCAATCTGTTGATATAATTTAGTAATTTGTTCTTCCATTTTTGTTTGTTTTTCTTTGGTTTCACGTAGGTTTTTGTGGATTAAATTCCTCCTTGATATAATATAAGTAATTTGGTTAAATAGCTTATCATTAGATACTGTTATAAGATTGGAAATTTTGTTCCATAAAACTATAGAAGTGTCTAACAGAATATCTGGGTCCTGTACTGAGGTAGATGATAAGAATGTCTCACCTGATTGATCTTGACAGTGTTGTTGAATTAAATCTTCACTAATACTTTCATTCTCCACAGAAATAGCATGTAGATTTTTATCTGTTTGTAAATTATAATCCGTAATTAGCTTGGAACTTGTTGCTATGAAGTTGTTGCACTTACTCACTGATTTGGTTCTGTTGAGTGGTGGTCTTCCCCGCTTAATTGGAGAACATTGCATTTCTGTTAATATTGAAGTTTTCTTGTTAAGGATAATTATCCAGCTGTTAGTCTTCTTTAATGAACAAAAAACGTGTTAATCAAATTGGTAATTTTAGAATTATAGTCACAAGAGAAGTGCTTGTCAAAAGTCACCAGCAGCACCGGCGATTGAGATACGCCTCCCATTTCAGTGAATTATTATTTATTCAACTATTATAGCAAGAGTATGTTATCAAAAGATATTCGTTTATATCACTGAATTATTCTTTTATTTTAAATTTTGAGCCAAAAGATTTGAAAACTTTTTGTGTAAATAAAATCCAATAAGGAATTTAGGTTATGACTTAAAAACATATTTTTTTGTTTTCTCAACACTGTGCTGAGGAAAAAAGTATATAGGATAACATGGTTTCAAATTTAATAATTAAAAACATATATTCATTGGACAGTTAAAAGATGTGTATTTAGTCCTGTAGCCAGAAATAAATTATTGGGAACTACATGGGCAAGCTGAAAAAATTCTGATTAGTATTTTTCTTTTTTTCACTCAGCACTGGGCCTATTAGCTACAGTCCAAATCTGAAAAATACAACAGTAGCCTAACTTTATGTGATAAAAGCAAAAGCATATATATAGTGCATGTAGGCACTACCCTTCTTAGCCCACTCATAGCTATGGTTCTGTATGTATTAGATAGAATTTTATTTCAGTATAAAATCCTACAGCATTATGTATCAAAATAAAATTTTTTTTTGTAATTTTCAATGGTTTAACAAGTATTTTAGTGTATCTTAGCATCTAAGAAATGGATTCTGTAATTATAATAGAAATTAAGTTTCATTTTTCTCAATAATTCTAGATCTTATACCTGAATTAATATTTGTTTGTCCCTTAAAAGATAAATAGTATGTAGTTTTATGCCACTGAACTAAAATATTGAAAATTGATCAGTAAAGTAAGCTAGACATTTTCTATAGAATATCACTGATAGAAACTTTCACAACAATTTTTATTGATTTTATTTAATCAAAACCCAAATAAAACTTATTTGTTTGTTAGTAGACTTAGTCTCTTTTCCAGATTACAAGAAAAATATAAATAATTTAATCTTACACAACAAATATAATGTAAGTAATGAATAAAAAACAAGTGTTTTAAAAAAGTACTTATAATATGTGCAGCTTGATAAACACATTTCACCAACCAAAGCTTTCTGAGAAAAGTTATTTATTAAACAAACATTTTCAACCTATTATCGTAGACCATCTTCAGTTTTTTAAATTTGATGATAATTCGTTATAAAAGGGAATACAGTAGAGCCTCGATTATCCGACCCCCGATTAACAGACACCTCGGTTAACCGACCATCCTAGTCAGAAAATTTCAAATGTCCGCTAGTGATGTGGCGCTACAATATTTGGCTATGTCTTGGCTACTTTAATATTATTTTTACGTGTTTTAGCTGGCAACACTTATTCGACCATGAAAGGGAGCCAGTATTTAAACGAGACTTAATTTTCTAATTTTTAACGATATAATAGTGACGATTATTATTTTAAAAAATTTTTGTTAGGCTTAACATCGATGAAAATTCAACGCGAAGTAGGTTAATAGCGATATACTAATATACTAATTACATGGGATATAATAATATACTACACTAATAATGGATTTTTTCATACTTTTCGGTTATCCAACTTTTCAATTATCCGACCAACCCCAGTCCCCAATTGAGTCGGATAATCGAGGCTCTACTGTATTCAGATATTCAAATATACAATATACATTTAAACTTAAAATTCCAATTAGAAATTAATCATATTTTGTTCATCATGAATTTATTTTATTTGTTCAAGTTTAAATTTTTAAAAACACATTTTACTTTGCTAATGATAAATATAATTATTAAAACTGTATTTATTGTTTATTTTTATAGTTAGATTATTTATATATTTATTTTTAATATTTTCAGAATTAGTCAAAATCAAGAACAATTGTTTCTTAGATATGCAATAGAAACAAAATTGCGTATGATAATTCCATACATAAATAAATGGCCACAGGTATAAAGTAAAAATATTTTATTTTTTAAATGTCATTTTATTATTTAAATGTCATTTTATTATTTATTTAATATGTATAGATACTGCAATTTTGATAAGATAAATTTTAATATCATAAAAATAAAGTTTTGAAATTTAAAATTCATCAATTTTATCTTTACATATATTATTTATAATGATAAAGTCAATTACTATTGTAGATTACTATTTAAAATATTTTACAAATATCATATTACTATTTATATAATAAAGAGAAAATATTTTAAAATTTATATCAAAATGCACTTTATAAATTAATGCATTGCAAGCAGATAATTGATCTAACAGTTTATTTTTATATAAATTGAAACAAATTTGAAATAGAACCAAGTATTCCATTGAATACCATTTACATATTGTAAAGTGATCAATGAATTTCTGATATATTCAAATAATCAGAATAATATAATAAATGAAATAACTATTATCAAATGATATTTGATCTACAATATGGCTAATTAATTATTAAACAGAGTAATTTTGTAAAATAAGTAAACAATTATAGTTTCATCTTGTGTTAAATTTAATAATTAGAAATAAATTTATATTAAATTTGATATAACTATTGGATAACTGAAATTTTGGTTATTCTTCATGTTAGAAAAATTTGTGTCACTCTAATTTTATTCCATCATCCACTTGCTATTATCATCTGAATATAGATTACATATATATATTATGGATTTAAACTTCATATGAAGTGCTTTTATAGTCTTGTGTTTGTCTTAGGAAAGCTGATATTGAAACATTTAATATTATTAGGTTTTTGTAAATGATAATCTGTTAAATCAAAAGATTTTAATTTAGATAAAAATTTGAAGAAGAAAAAACAATTGCTAGAGGAGAAATGTTCTCTGGTAGGCTCCCAACTTTAAAAATAGAAAATTTATCTCATATTCTTGAAATGGTTGAAATGCTATTGAAAATTATTGAATAAGTATTAATAATAGTGCTTATGTTAATAAATAAATACATAATATTTTAGATTACTGGAAAGTTGCCAAAAAAATTGATTTCATGAAATATGAGAAATAACATATTTACAATTAAAAAATGAATAATTATGAATCCATACAACATTTTTAAACAGGATGCTATCTTGTTATTAGTCTTAATATCACCAGTATTATAAAAATGATAGAAAACCATAAAATGTTTGATAAAAATATCAATATATTCCATGACCAAAAAAGAAACCAAACATTATATATTTGATTGCATTTGACAGAAAGGATATAATACTACACAATAATTTAGTAATATTTTAAAAAATTTTTTGAAGCAAAAATTTCTAAAACAGTGAAACATGTGGAATTTACTGGATTATACATATTCTGATCTTACTATCTTTTTGTCATTTTTATTAATATATCAGACTGCATGAGCTACAGTTGAAAAAATGAATTTGCTTCATTTTGGTTTACCTTTCATTTACTTCTCTTTTTATTTTCTATTTTTTCTAAAAGGGAGTGTGATGAAGCAAGAGAATTTTTTATAGTTATATAGTAGAGTAATCTTTGTAATCTGACATATGTTGGATCTGTGGGTGTCAGATTACAGCAGATTGTTGTTTATTGGATTCTGTATGTGTATATGTGCATAGTGTACAGTAAAAAAATGCACTTGGTTACAGGTTAATTTATAATCACAGTTGTGATTATTTTGCTAACTGCACATGCAACAAACAACTAGTGACTGAGAGAAAACATGTACATTAATCTCACTCTGTCTCATATGTCAACAAGTAGTAACACGAAAATTGGGCTACAATTTGAAAAAATTATAGACCTATAAATTTCCATTGTTGTCTGTCCATCCATCTGTCTTTCCTTAATCTGAGTTAGCTAGATAGATAGATGAAAGACGAGACTAGATGTGGAAACCTTAGGGGCTGGAGGCCCTGATTAACTATATATGAACTTAAGATGCTAGTTGGAATCATGTTATTTTAATTCAAAACTTTTCCCTTGAAAGTAGTTAATAGATGACTGGCACAACTCCTTTGCTAACAGAAAAGTATGATTTACAGGGACAAGATACTACTAATAATTTGAGGTGGAAAGCATATATTTTAAACTAAATGAATTAAAATTATGATTAAAAATTGTAGCCTGGCATTGTGATGATGTCACAGTAAATAATTGTTTGTTTCATATGCATTACCCTGGGAATGTTGGACTGGTGAATGACAAGACTGTAGAGACTCTACTCAGTCTGCTGTATTTAGTTACTGATATTTACATTATTTATTTTACTTTTTGTTTCAGTTATTTTGAGTTTTGAGAGTTGAGTTATGTTAAACCTCAATTGCTATCTCAACATTTTCCAACCAAAACTTTGTTTGCATAATTTCATACCGAAAATTAGTAATGAATGAATTGGATCCTACTAATTTAGGGTTTAAATATGATTAAAACATTAAATAACATTCTACTATATTTTTGTAACCAGATATTAATAGAAACACAAGTTAAGAAACATTTTAATTTTTGTAAGCAAGTTCAATATGCAAATTAACAGTGTGTAAAAGACCATTACCAAACAGACAAAGCAAGCTAGACTTCATTTCTGCTGTTGAATTGTAAGTGCTTGATTGATTGATTTTATGCTGATTAGAAATTTTTCTTCTGTTAAGTTGTTTTCCTTAATCAGCTTAATTGTTAGATTTTGCAAATTGTACTAATAATCAATTTTGTCATTGTTGTAAATACTGAATTTGAACTTTATAATATTTGAGTTTTATACTAATTAGTGTTGTTGAAATCATAATTTTTGTTTTGTAGTCAGTAAGTCCAATAGTTAAGACAGTTACAGTTTAATAAAGCTTTTGATATTTTACAAAATTTGATGCAAGTGTTGTTTCTTTCATATTTTGGACCTTGCAAAGTGAGTAAAAGATAACCACAATAATGTTATTAACCATGGCTCCCCAACCAAATGAAGACAAAAATGACATCAGAGAAGAATTTCCAAATTACAAATAGATGAAAAAGTATCTGTTGGTTGAGTATGGCTTCCTGAATGAAAGAACAGATAAATAGGTTTGAAAAAGAAAATTTTGAGTCATTTACTATAAAATTATGTATATTACTATACATAATTTTATGCTACTTTTTTTATTTTTTTGAAATCAAATACCTGTTTCCAAGGTGGATATTTTCAAATCAGATTTTGATGTGAACAATGAAATGTGTATTTTTAACAACAATCCAAACAAATTTTTTTGAATCGATGTCTAAAAAATTCCATAAAACTGTGCATATCAGTGTTAAAAAGTTTTATTATGCATTCTCACAAATTAAAATATCAGAAATTTGATTAATTTTAAAGAATACAGGACCAAATTCAAAAACCAGATAAAAAAATATGAAATCTGAATGATTCAGTCAGAAGGAATAGAATGCTGTACATTGTATAACTATACATAAGGATGAATAGTTATACGATTAAGAAACAAGAACACTTCCAAACATTCTTGTTAATTTTATTTTTTATTCTAAAATTTCATATCTGGAACTAATCTTTTTTTTACGAGTCATTTTATAAATTTATTAGAAATGAAGTTACATTTTTTAAAACAATCATTCTTCAGGGAAAATTCCTGTATAACAATTACAATTTGTTAATGCAATTTCAAAAATCTAGAATTTACTCAGTTTTGTTACTTACATCTTCCAAGTTCTTTCAAATTTATCAGAAACTTGCTTTATTTAAATAATATCAATAAATCTCACTTCTCAAGCACTTTTCAATTGAAAGAGACCATTTTTAGATACACACATAATTATAACTAGTTTTCAGGTCAAAACTTTTAAAATCTTTGAACATATCGGAATAAATAATTTTCATAAACAAAAAACTTAAAATTCTCAGAACAAAATTTAAACTTATTGAATGCATTCAATTCCAAAACACACTCATAATCTAAAATGGATGATCTTGCAATATCTCTTGTCAATACTTTCTAATGGTATTCCAAAATTTGTCTTTGTTAATAATTTATGATTTGTAAAAGAACATTAAAAATTTTAAACTCAAAATCTTTAAACAATTTTTCACTTTTCAGATTTTCATATTTACAAATACTGTAATAATATTTGAAATTAAATTTAGTTTTCTTTAAGAAATTCTATTATTCTTAAGAGATTATATATTAAATATTAATATTTCTATTTTCTTTTTCTATTTTAGAAAGTATTTCTTAAATATTAAAGAAAAATTTAAATTATTATTTATTTAAAATTTTTTTCAATATGTTTAGGCAATGGCAATAATGATGATGCCTCAAAATGCTCCAACTGCTTTGAGTAACTTAATGGATCTAGTAGATACAATTTGGTTTTATGCAGGTGATAAATCATTTAATGTAAGTAATGAAATTAATATTAAGTCAGTGTTTTAGTAGTTTTCATATTTAATTTATTGAAAAGTACTTTGTTAAATAAAGTATATTTCAGGACCAAATGATAATAGGTGACATTGATTTTTGTATTTTCTAAGATACTCTTGAGGATAGTGGATAAGGATAGAGGTGAGAAATGTAAACATTTCTCACCTCTCTATATCTGACTATTTAATTATTAAATAGTAACCATAGTGAGAAATGTTTACATTTCTGACTATTCTTAACTGTTCTTAAATTCATCAAAAATTTTAATAAAGGACAAACAATCTGCGAGATTGTATCAGCCTATAATATGGTTACTATTTAATAATTAAATACTCAGATATAGAGGCGGTGCCTAATGCCTACCTTTAGGCAAAATTACTGAACATTTAATTATTAAATATTAGCTATATTATAGCTCAATATAATCTGACAGTTCATTTGACTTTAATCAAAAATCAGGTTAATAACTGTTTAAATTCTAATAAAATTTAAAAAATAAAAATTTAAATATATTGCTTGGAAATTTGCTTAATATTAAATATTTGAAAATAATGGTAATTATAGGGTATAGATTACTGCTATAACAATAACAAATATTGAAAATCATTGGAAAAAATATTGTTTACATCAAATTGAAAAGTGATTAATTAAGATAGTATTTTTTTTTCATGAATGTATATTTAAAACAATAATTAAATATTTAATGAAATCTCAAATAGTTAGTAATTAGTTTTTTAATCAAATTCTGATGTCAACTGTGATAGTCATACTTATAAATGTTAGCCAAATATTAGTTTTGTAAATGTTATAAATAATAATTAACTGTTGGATAGATGTTGTTTGCCAGTTTTTTCATCAACTGAATAAAGATGAAAAACTCCAAGTGTTTAAATAGTAGCATGGTTTTGTATTTGAGAATCATAAAATAATTTAATATTAGTCTTTTGCATGGATTGACCAATATAATATTTCAAAAAATAGACATTATTGATTGAATCTTGATTTTCTGTATTTACCTATTTACATTTCCAGTTTACAATTCCAGGCTGATGTGATATAACATTTTTACTATTTGTTCACTCTTACTTTGTGAGCCCATACAAGTCATTTAGTTATAAATTCTCAATTATCTGACTCAAACAAATTTTCTGTGTTGTGATATGGTCAACCTCATAAATTATTAGATTATTAAGTACTTGGTTGTCAATTAATTTTTCATTAAATTTTTGATAATCTGTACATAGAGAATGTTGTTAAAAAGCCATCAAATCACCACTAATATTTATAATAATAAAAGCAGATTATGTATATAATGATCCATATTTTAAATTATATCCTGTTCTTCAGTTTAAAATTAAATTTAATTAAATGATAGTTTACTAAGATTTAATTTTGAAATCAATACTGTTAAAAAGCATAACTCTTGTCTTAGAAACATAATTCTTATATTGATTAAAATGACAAATTTTAATTTCTTTTTGTTAATAACAATTAAGTATCAGTAAAATAGATACTTATCAAAGACTGTACTTTGATATAGGCTACATTACTACAATGGTCAGCTATTTGGCTGAAAAATGTCATTTAGTTTGGAGAAGAGTGAGGGAGAGATAAAACATAAAACACAAAATAGAATGAAAATAACTTTTGAAATCTCAGATATTTAAAAATATTGTTATTTATTCCTTTTTGAAATAAATATAACTTAATAAATGATCTTAAGCAAATCATCTGTGTGGCTTACAGAATTGTGTTTGTTTTCAAAATTTAAATACTTTGCCATTTTTCATTAATTGCAATGAAGAATCAAAAAATGTAATTAAAAATTGGGGGTCCATGATTTCATTTTCAAGATATAAGGTAATTTCACAAGTGCACAGACAAAGCAGTATTGCATGTATCGTGCGACTTTGTCATGCGATGTTCCATTGTCACTACTACATCTTCTATGGGCTTTGCTATAGAATCATGTTTGTTCTCAAAATTTAATGGGCTGATTTTGATAAAACTTTGCCATTTTCTGTTAAGAAAGAAAAAAAAGGGGATGATAATTTATTATTGTTGTTGTTGTTGCTATTGTGATCTATGTAATTTTAATATTTTTTTAAATTTTACTATTTGTGTTGTGGGTATTTCCCACAGAGGTTCTCTGGTTCCAAGTATAAAAATAGAACCTTCTTTTGTGACTGAACCTTCCTTCCTTTGTGTGTACAAGAATAGGACATGTGCTCAATAAAAGCTCTGTAGTAAAGTAGTAAAATCTAGTTTTTTGTCCTTAAAACATACAAAATCTGAACATTTTCTATTAATTGCAGTGAGGAATCGAACAATGTAATGAGCAGTGCCGTCTTTAGGGCAGGGCCTACAGGGCCCTGGCCCAATGTCCCCAGGCCATAGGGGGCCCCTAATCCAAAAGTAATATAGTTACGAATAAAAAATAGGTTAATTAAAATAAACAAATTATTAAAAATATCAAATACTTTATTTCTCCTATACATAGTTAAAAATGATCTTAAAACTAAGCAAACTTACAAAATTTTGATACTTCTTATTCACTACACCTCAGCCGAAAACAGTACTTTCTTCCTGCTGTGCGGAAAGAAAATTCCATTTCCTGGCCGAGGGAGATGAAAAATCGTATATACTCCACTGGAGGAAACAAATAATGCATCCCTAGGTCTGTAATATACTATTGTTTCTGTTTCATTAAGGGGACTCCATCTTGGTCCTGGCCCAGGGCCCCTTATGTTCTAAAGATGGCACTGGTAATGAGGGTCCATTTAAATGTAAAAAATAGGAGTCCATGACTGTTTTTGATATACAAAGGTATTAAAATGACAATGCCCTTGCTCTCTGATGCAACTGAGCATGCCTAACAGAATTTAGGTCTAGGGTCAAGGATCAAGAATAAAAACAGCATTGTATGTGTCTAATAGAAAATAGGCACAAAAATGAACAAACACAAGAACAAAGCAATCATCATCAATTGCTTTGTTCTTGGATTACTTCTCCACGTTGGAAAGTGCAAGGATCATCTCTCCATACCAGACCAGTGCAATGGGAATGGGTGTGTCTCCCATGGCCATCAGATACAAGGATTGCTTTTTTTGTGCCTAACAAGTATAGGAATTGCTTCTTTCTTTCTGGCTCCACCTCAACTCTATCATGATATGACAAAGTTGCATGATGTCCTAGTATTTGTTTTTATTTATCTATTTATTTATCTTATTTTGTTACAATATAGAATATATCTACATGTAGCAGGTGCATAACAAGCTTTTTTTAGCTCCTGCTACAAGGAAAAACAGAACAAAACAAAAATAAAATGAAAATATTAAACACACCATCTTTTTTTTAACATATTTAGTATTTTTGTTGTACAGATCAGACGTAATTAATTTTTTACTAACATTCTTATATCGAAGACATTTCTCAAAAGAGTTTTTTAATTTGATATAGTGTGGGAATAGTTGATTCCATAATACAATTGACTTATCAAAAATGCATTTTTGTCTGAAATTTAATTAAATTAAATTTAAGAATTATAAATTTGTTTATTTCTAATTTACCTAAGTTTATTTACAATGACATTATGAGTATACAAAAACCTATCAATATCATACACAGTATCTTTATTTATTAGTTTACATTAAATCTCTATTAATATATTTTTTTAAACATTAATTAGTTATTAACAATCGCAATTCAAGAGCAAACAACATGAATGTAGGTAGAAATATTAATACTTCTGCATTTCTAGGAAGTAAGCAATTTGGTTGTCATAAATACTTCCAACTTCTCTAAACATACTGTTCATTCACTAAATATACTACTAGGTAGATCTGCAAAAAAATGATGAACCTCAACTGCAGAATTTAATTTTTTACTTTTCGTTATTAATAATAATTTTTTACTTTTCATTAGTAATAATAATTTTTTTAAAAAAATAAAAACGTATATAATTTTTATTATTGAATAGAAGATACTTTCCTCCACTTTATTCTAAGGCTTAGACTCTAAGCCCTCTGTTTCAAGTAGTTCCAAATAAATCAGCGGATATTTGGCCGAATATTTGGTATTCTGTATCTAGAAAGGAAAGAATATTTGGTATTTGGCAACAGTAACATCTGCATAATTATTAAGTATTCAATCAAAAACTCCTATTCAGTTCATCCTTAATTTAAGTATACTAAATACAAAGACATTTTCAAATGTCAACTAAAAGTATGTTTAAAAATTAAATTGAAGACATAGTCTGTTGAAAAAAGGAATCATTATTTATTCACTTTCAATTTAGTTTTTAAACATAATTGCCATTTGACAAAATTCTACAATTTAATTGAAAAAGTATATTATTAATATTTCTAACATCATCTGATTACATGAAAAATACTAATTATTTCCTAGTGATATTATTATTTTTAATGGTAATATTTACTTAATGTTTAACTAGCAAAGACACACTAACTGAGATCAATGTTGACATTTTTGTAATAAAACTAACAATACAAAATTGATAATATAATTTTATTTTCTTTTTATTACATAATGTTACTTTTTATTACAAATATTATATTTTTTAGCTTTCTTGGTATGGAAAAAGAATTGGTCTTGCCACTATGTACAAGATTACAGAACTTTGCTTAATTCAGGATTCTAGTGAAGATTATAGAACAACTTGGTTGTTCTTAGATAGACGAATGATGGAATTTATTAATATGAAGAGCTTTACCTACCAGGTATGAAAGAAAATTATTTTAAAGTTATACCAATTAGTTATACCAATTAAAAGAAAACAAAATTTTTTAAAATGAATATTTAGATATGAGTTAATTTTAAAAACACTATACAGTATTAATATTATACAAATTGGGAAGAAGCAGTGGTGGTTCATGATAAGCACTTCAGAACTTCAGCATCACAATGAAAAATAAAATCACAGAATAATGTCTCTCTTTTTATTACATAGTAATCATATATAAATTATTGTAAACAATTGGAATCAATTTTTTTGAAAATCAAAATCACTGCTAATCAAAGCAGTATCTGAAATAAAAATGATTTTATTAAAGCACTTTGGGTGTCATATACTCTTCTATAAAGCACTGTTAAACAGTGCAGTGCTAACTATCAAGGCTATCTTCCACTCAGAGATTATCCTGCTTATTCAGTCTAAAGATACCATAAAATGTTCAAAATGGCACCACATTGCTTAGCAGTGCTGTTGCAGGTAGGTGCATGGCAGGAATTAGTTATTGGGTCAGAGCAGGGTGCATAGCACTCTGTGACCTATAAATGTTAATATGAAACAGAAAAGATTTTGAATCTTAAATTTATTTATTTTAATTATATTTAAAAAATATTTTTTTAAATTTAATTATATACTATAATTATTTATATTGTATATAAATTATATAATGTATATATGTATATATTATACAGGATCAGTCAAAAGTCCCTTGCACCCTTTTCAAAACTACTGAAGATATATTAATTTTGTTGATGTAGTTCACATAGGAAGTCATTTATGGAGAAATGGATGGGACCTTGAATATCATTTTCAAGGTCACTTATGTTATAATTTTTTAATGAGCAGAGATAATGTAACCTATCCAATTCTCTATAAGTGACTTTCTACATAACTATTAACAAAATTAATATATCTTCAATACTTTTGGAATGAAAAGGGTGCAAGGGACTTTGCCTTCTTAAAATACACAAAATAACCATGTACAATACTGTTAAAATTAACATTAAAAAACAATACTTAAGCAGCAACATATAAACTCTTTTTATCTCTATGTCCTTAATATTTTATTTATTTTTTTTTACATTGTCTATTTGGACCTTATTTATAAATAGGACTTATTATACTGGTGTAGTTTCTAATTAGCAAAGAAAGGTAGTCTTAGTCAAAAGTTAAAACAAAACATATTTATTTTTACCTGAAAACAAAAAAGCAAGATAGAAACATTAGATCAAATATTTTTTGCTGTTTAAAGGTGGTGCTTCTTTGACTTTTAAAACATATTTTTAATTTAATTAAAATAAATTAATTTTACTTTACATAACAAACTATATTTGTATCATTTATCATGTATAGTAGTATTTGTTACTTGGCACCCCCATATTAGACAGTCAAGAGGCACATCTGATAAGTATATTATGACTAATGTCCGATTTTTAAAATTTAGTTATACTCTGTTTTATTGTTAAATACTTTTGTTTTGCCTCATTATTAGAGATTTATGTCCACAAAAGAACTTTTGAATATCAGTAGGAAAAAAACTTTCACATTTAAATAAATTCTAAAAATTTTAATTGAACATTAACTGACGATAACTTTATTATTCATGTAGAATTTATTATAATAAATATTATAACTGGTTATAATAACAGTTGATCAAAGGTTTCTTTTGTGGATATATGACTCTCATAATCAAAAAAGACTTCAAAATAATTTGAACTTTGTATTATTAATGTCTCCAATAAAGCAGTGTATAACAAAATAAATCAAAAAATAAATGGAATATTTATACTAGCTACTTTATTCTGATTGGATTTTTTTAGATATTGTTATTGATATCATTTATAAATACAGTAAAACCTGTCTGAAACAGAACCTTAATAAAACAGAAACCTGCTTAAATGGGAAAAAATATTTGGTACTGTGTGAATACAGTTTACACAGGTTTCACTGTATAAACATATTTGTATAGTATTGATTTTTACAGATTTATTATGTAATTTTTTTGTTTTAAAAATAATATTTCAGTTGCAAGAAAATAAAGAATTATTATCAGATCTCTTTTTAGGGAGTATGCTTACTGTAAGTTGTATTTTAAAATTTTGATCTTTTACTCTATTTGCAAATTTAATTTATAATAGCTTTTTATAGTATTTTTATAAAANTTTTCCCTGAAATTTTACTCATTTATCTTCTGTATTTGTATGTTTTTAAGACATTAAATATATTGAGAATAAATTCCACAAATAAATCTTAATTGTTAATTAAGTGGAATGCTGAAAAATAAGTACAAATGTTATTGAATATCAAATAAATTTCAATAAATTTTTAATTAAAAAATTTTTTTTTCTTCTATTTAACTTACCTTGAAAGTTTCAAATGTAAAATTTTTAATTGTTAATCAATTTTTCTATTTTATTTACTTATTTACCTGCCTTCTAATAAGACAGTTAGATGATGTACTCACCTTATTTTCAAATTTCAGCTTAAAATAACTAATCCAAATTTAATTATAATTAAATTTATAGTATTGTGGTTAGTTTAAAACCTGAGAAACAACAAATAAATACCCTTTTCCACTGTTAAAATTAAGTTTTAATTTTGAAAATATGGAATTGGCACGAATGCTTTTAATTGCCTTAATGAATATTCTTGGAATTCTTATATTATTTCGAGCAAATTCTAATTTTATAAATGATTAATTAAAGAAATTAATTTATTTTTGAATTTTCTGTAATTATGTATGTACTGTACTTCATACAGCACACGCGCCAAGATTTACAATTATTATACAGATTTTTATTGTTAACTCTTGACATTTTTATGGTAAAATAATGCTACAAATTGGATATAACTATGAAAAGACAATTAATAAATCAGATAATTATTAATTCTTTCTGTATTGAGAACACTAAGACCTTCTTGTTGTGTCCTCGATAAAACCCCCGAAATTCTGATTAAAAAATGACACTAAAAAATTAAAAATAAAGCAGGCAGGCAAGTAAGGGGTGTGTGCTATAGTTAAGACCTAGGCACAGACAAATAAATTAATCACAAAATTTCATTTTAATTTCTATACATTCAGCATATACAATACAATAATGGCACAACCATATTCAGAACTTTATAAATTTTCTTTGCAATAAACCATTAACGGTTATTATTCTTAAATGACTAGATACATCATAAAATGTTAGGTAGGAAATAGTTGTTTTTTTTTCTTATACTATAAATATTTAATAGTATTTGTTATCATTTTCATAAAATTAATAACAATATACTATGTCATGAGTCGTACAACAATGTATCAAATTGAAAAACATACGAAATGCAGTTAACGAAGCTAGAATCAAGAAAAGGAAATTCATACAGGGCCAGCAAATGTAAAGGTTATCCGGAGTGGTCTTGCTACGCGCCACGAACCTAGTATCGAGCTATGTGAGGAACAACACCCAGTGTTGTTCCTAAATACACTAATGATTCTACTCATGTACACTCGTGCTGATTCCACGACGAATTATGTGATTAACAACACCCAAATCTTTGAACATTTACCTTCACCCTCGAGTGGTGACGTTTCGACTTTCTCGCAGGCATTCCTGGTGTAAACGTTACCTTTGATGGCCCCATATTTAACTACTTACGCCTAGTTTAACTTATAACGAAAATATATATATATATACTATAAATTATAGAAATTTAATGGTATAAAGTACAATAATTCCAATCTTCATAAATCTGATTATATTGAAATAATAGTATAAATTGTAGCAATTTTATTAACACAATAGTTTTAATAATGAACTGTATATAAACCACGAATTTAAAAATTCAAGAAAAAATGCAGAAAAACATTTAGGGATCCTATAATGAATAATAAAAGTCATCTTTACAATTATACAGTACAATTATTCCAGTAATAATCATTCAATTAATAACATGGAAATGCTTTTATTGGGAAATAAACAGTTTACTTTATCACATTTCTGATTATTGTTAGTTTATAATCAAAATATTTTACAAAATTTTAAGACCATTTTAAGACATAGTTTTGACTAAATGTTTAGATTGTAAAACTACTTTAACTTGCATTAACTACTAATACAATAAAATCTGTGAAAGCCAGAATTGCACAGGATCAATAAACTTTTTGTCTTAGGCTTGGTTCACACTATGTGACAAAAGTTATTTTGATAAATACTTCTGAAGTCATCTACCAACAAGGTGTTATTTTACTAGATTAGTAGTGTGCAACTGTGGGTTGCAACCCCCAGAGGGGTTGAAAGAAAATTTTTTGGGGTTGCCAAATTCAAAGAAATTTATTTGACGAAAATTATAAGGCTTTTCTTCAACAAGTATCAGGTACCAGTAAAATAGTGAAATGAAATTATATTATTTATAAAAATAGAACTATATTTTTTTACGAAAACAATTGTCTATATTAGTACCTACTACAGACAGAGGATGACTGTAGTACGGCATGTGATTTCCAATACAGATCCGAACATAGAAGCAATCATAAGCTCTTTACAAGCCTCTTACATACCTCACTTTGAATTCTTATGATATAAAGTTTTTTAAAAGTATTTTTTCATTAAATAAATATTTATACCCATATGCATAAGTAAAATTATTGTTTCATAAAATTATGTGTTTTATTCAGATTTCTAATAAGGCAGAAACATAAGTGCAAATCCCAGAAAGAATTTCACTTTAACTACATTGATGATTAAAAAAATGTCTACTGTCTATTCAGAGATCATGACAATATTTACAAAAATGGGGGGTCTGAAATGAAAATAGTTTGTGCACAGGGCTGTGCCGTGCTATGATGCAGAGATGCGGCCACATCAGGCAGCACCGTGAGGGGGCGGCATAAAAAACATTTAAGGGGCAGAATTTCAAAGACTTGCATCATACTTAGAAAATCTACCGCACGGCCCTGTTTGTGCACCACTGTACTAGATGATTAATCAGAAACAAATTACTATTTACATTTAGAAAACTGATAAAACACTTATTTTGTATTGAAGATATCATTTCAGTTAACTAAAGAAGTAAATAAATTTTTATCAATGAATCAATTTTCATTCCAACTATCATTTATTAAAATCATAACTTAATATTTTGGACAACTACCAATTTAATAACTCAATAACTACCATAAAACTTAATTTCTTGATTAATTTTTTTATTCATTTTCTGTGTCATAAATAGAAAATTGGCAAATGTTACTAAATGAATTGAAATAGATCATCATGTGATATACAATCTTAATATTTATTGAATCAGTTTCTGAACAAAAAATGATAAAGTTTAACTTGTTTGACTTTTTTGTATTTTTAAAAATTGCCAGGAAGATAATTGTATATTCACAAAAAATATAAAAGACTATACAATAAAAAGTCTTCTTATGTTCTTTCTCACACCTCAGGAAAATAACAGTCTTACGGCAGAGTCAATCTTTATTTGGAGGCTACTCATCTGCCTCAATATCTAAAACATTAAAAAACTCCTCTGGTGATGGCACAAGTAAAAATATACATTTTGTACAATTAAACATATATAGGGTGATTCAAAAGTCACAGAAATTTCAAAAAATTAATAATTCACAAACTATTTACAGTAAGATGATGCAGTTTTCACAGAAACGCTTAGAAAGAAGCAGGATTTTTTAATGTGTAATAAAAATTTTAGTACCAAAATAGTTACATTTCTTGCCATAGATGGCACTTGATAAGATTACATAATTTCTGTAGTTGTTACTAGAGCTTACACTAAGAATATTTTTTTTTATTCTTATGTTAACAAATTACAAATGCTTTCAGTTTCCTAGTGCCATCTATGGCAAGAAATGTAACTATTTTGGTACTAAAATTTTTATTACACATTAAAAAATCCTGCTTCTTTCTAAGCATTTCTGTGAAAACTGCATTATCTTACTGTAAATAGTTTGTGAGTTATTAATTTTTTTAAAATTTCTGTGACTTTTGAATCACCCTGTACAATTTTACAAAATACACATTTTGTAAAATTGCCAGAATGGTAACTGTTTGACTTTGTTGCTTGTTGTGCAATTTTTGTCATTTAGAGTTAAATGAAAAAAATTTTCATTTAACTCTAAATGACAAAAATTACATAATATCAATCTAGCTTTATATATGCTGGAACAAGAAAATAGTCACTGCTTCAAAATGCAAACGTTCTTTTTTACCAAGTTCTAATATATGCATAGTGTTTGCTATATTTATTGAAGTTACTTCAAAATAAAAGGAAAAGGACAGGTGAAATACATTCATTTATATATTCATAATCTTTTACATTTTAAATAAATTATTAGAAACATTATTAAAAACATTATTTTTTCTTAAATAATTCTAAAATATTTAATTTAATGTCATTCTTTTAATATAAATAATCTTTTGTATAATTAAGAAATAATATCATATTTTTAATTTTTTTAAAGAAGAAAAGTTATATTTCAAATAAATTTTTTTCCAATTTGTACTGTTTTTTTTTTGATTTTTGAAATTATTTTTCAGGTTCGTAATGTTCTTGGTTTAAGAAGAATGGCCAAATAAATGTGATATGTGTAATTTATTAGGTTTGGTTCATTGTAAATGTTTTAGTATAAGTAATATAACTTTATATAAAATGATTGCAATTATTTTCATTTAGAAAATAAACATTTTTTATAATTTATTAAATAAATAATAATCAAAAATGTTATTTTTGTTGGAAATATTTACTTTTGAAAAATTTACATTACACTTAAACAATTTGCACTTCCTAAAAGAAACTTGATTGATTAATAAGTTTCTGTCAGTGTCAATAGAATGTTTTTCCCAAAGAAATTTTGAATTTAATTTTCATAAAACTTCATAATTTAAAAAAATAATTGTTTTTGAACAATATAAATTATTATTAAAACTTAAAATAGAGAGATTTTACTATTATCAAACTGAAGAAATACTTATCTAAAGTGATCAGATTTTTTACAGAGTATTGTTGGATGGGTTTGTCAATAGAGATGGACAAGGTAAATAAACAAGATTGTATAATATTTTTTATTCCATATTTCATAAAACGTTTTTTCTGTCAACAAACTAAAGCAAACACAAAAATCTATAAAAGTAGTGTTTGCTGCTTACAGGAGCAATATTTTGAATACTGATTTTTGCATTGCCAACAGTTATTCTTTTAGATTTCTAATTTGATTGGTTATAAAATACATTGTCACGTTTCTAACTGGATACTGATTACCAGTAGTTTTTATTCTATGTGGCATAAAATCAGAAATAGAAAGAAGCATAAAAATGGCTTCTGTTCTTTTCATTGTTTCTATGGAGTTGTCTATAAGAATTTTTATAAATTTTCTAATGTTTTTAGATGATTTTGTATGCTTAGATGAAACTTTAAATGCTATGTTTTGCTAGAGCCACATATATTTTGATGTTGTAAAACAGATAAAACTTGATAGACTAATACACCACTTCAATTTTATGTGAAATAAATTAGCTACTTTTCAGTAAGTTCTGATACTTCCTTCTATCATGTTAACAAAATTATTATTTTCATATTTCAATATTTTAATACTAATGGCAGTAATTCTTAGTACAGTGAAACGTGGTTAACTCGAACCTGGATAACTCAAAGTCACATTTACTTGAAGTCATTTCTTTCCCCAATCATCTAGCATAACATGATAAATTAAACAGTTAACTCCTGGAAACTTTTTAACTCTAAGTCTGAATTTTTTATCGTATTGATTGGAATTAATCAGGTTCCACTGTATTACTTTTCAGTCAAATAATTAATATATGTTTTTGTGCAATAACTCTTCCACCATTTTTAATAAAACTACATTGTTAGTATGGCAGAAGAATAAGATGAGTAATTAATTCAATGGTTTCTCAGTTTACATATATTTGGCATGAAATTTTGTTTTAAATATTTTACACATCAGAATTTTTGTGTATTTGGCATATAAGAAAATCTAGTTTTTGTTCGTGATAAATTTCCAGTTAGTTTCCAGTAGAGGAGATAATCTTGGTCATTTTATATTTTGAATGTCTTTACTTTTTGAATTTCATTTTATTATTATTATGTTGGGTTTTGTGAGTTATACTCAGTTCACACCGGTGGCTTTGTACTATGCCGGACCAGAGTCAAGGCATAGCAACCAAAACAAAACTAAAATTAAATAAGTGTGTGTGTAAGTATCAGGAATTTCCTAACAATGTGGCATGTATTCAATATAGTGGCCTTCTGTAGTGTGTATGTATTTCTACTCAATTGTAATGTTCCCAGGCTTTTATGTAGTGTGTGTGGTATCACACCTGTACAGGAGAGAACAACAGGTACAATAAGCACCCTATCCATCCTCCACAGATGCCTTATTTCCTGGGCGAGTTCTGTGTACTTGCTAATTTTTTCAGTGCATGTGTTTTGTACATTGTGAGTGTTTGGAATGGCTA